AAATGTATGGATGGAACAAAGATCTGAACGTAGATAAAGGTATATCGTATATGACATTAAAATTATTAGTAAAAAAGTAAATAATTATTTAAATTACATGATTAAATAGTTACACATCATAATTAAAATTTGAATTCGGTTGATGTATTTTAATTATAAGTATAAAAGTCTATTTTTCATGATTAGATAAATTTAATATTTATATAACTATTGCAAATAATGTACCTAAGGGGATGAAATAGAGAAAATAATATCATAAAATTAAATAAATTAAATACTAAACCATCATATTTAAAAGCTTAAATAATTAATAAGACATTATTTTCTCGTAATTAAAAAATCAATTTGGTTTTATTTCAAACTAAATAAATGACGAATGACATTTAATATTAATCATTAATCAATACACTTATTTTAGTTTTATAATTTGTTTGTTTAAAATAATAAATTAACTATGTAGTTGATGTATACTATTTACATTCTAATATGGCGTTTGTATTTTAAATAGGTATAGCCATTATTATATACCTACCATTAAATCTATCTTGACGTTAATATAAATTCAAAGTTTATAATAAATAATATAATGTATAATATACAAGCCATAAACGGATTTTTTCAAAATGAGTTTTTAGTTTAAAAACACATATCGATTGTATTTTTAAAGTAAATTAAAATCTACTAAATAATTCGAGTATATATACATTATAAAAATACATATTTATTGAATTATTATCAATTATCTATAGTGTTTACCTATATTTCTCCGCAATATAATTAAATTAATACATTTAAATTAAATCCATATAAATAAAATAACGGCATATAATATAATAAAACTTTTTATTTTAGTAATTAATTTAGTTAGTATGGACGTAGTATCTTGAATTATATGATTTGTATTTAAATGTTCATTTTTATAATGTTTTATTATACGTTTAAATATTTCACGTAAACAGAAAATAATATGAGGGGTAGGGGTCATTAATTAAAAACTAAATATTTTTGTTACTAATCTTCAATTGACATTGCAAAAAAATGTGCAGGTACCTATTTACACTTATAATAAATTATTAATAAACCAACAGTAAAAAATAATTTAAATTAACCTTCCATGATTACGTTAAAAACATTTTTGGGAGAAGGGGATTGAACCCAACCGCCCTCTTGTATAAGTGCTTCGTTCAAATATAGATGTACATCTAATTTATTAGTAAGAATTTCGTATTCATTGTATTCAGCAGCGTATCACTATCACATATGATGATCTACGATTTTTTTTAACCGAACAATTGACTAAGGATGTCAGGAAGATATAATGATATCATTATTCGTTATAATATATATATCATTATTTATTTCATTGTTCTTATTTTACTTATCCGACTAACATAATGTTAATATCGAATCAGCATTATTTATCCTTTTAAATTCGCCTTTTTTTCTATTCATAAAACAAAAGTGTCTACTCATGTTTTGGACAGTAATAATTCAAATCTCATAAAGAATTTGTTAGGTAGTTAAGTATTATTTTAAACCATGTGAACACTTATATTTTGGTATCTGAAAATAAATTATTTGGGTATGAAAATTCATCCGTGGCCGAACCCTTAAATTTTGTTAACATTTTTTGCTTCTACAAAGTATTGAACACAATACCTAAATAGATTTTTTTTTTAAATAATTTTTTTCGCATAAATTATTACAAATTAACTATCTTTAATAACAACCGTTTTTAATTTTTCTACAGGTTTATATATATCAGTATGTAATAAATAGCAATTACCAATACAAGATTGGATAATTTAGCTTCGACTAAACCTTTAATTTCTCCCACACTCTATCACAATTTTATAGCCAACTATAAGTAATATAGTGATACAATAATTATTAATTATTAGTTACTAATATTATTATAATACTCGTGAGTGAGCATGCATTAAATTTATTTTATTTTTTTTTCGTTTAGGGTGTGCCCAGACATACTTAACACACCTGTAGCTCCGCCTATGAATTTGTATCAACAAATATTAATTTTTTTCTAATAATCTTATTTCTCATTGAATTTAACAGCTGTCAAAATATTTAAAAAAAAATAAACATTTAAATATTTTATTGAAATAAACATATACATAAATAATTAAGTGAACAAAATTATTATTAAAATTTGAAAAATAAAATAAAATTTGTGTCAGCTATTCAGTTGTAAAAAGTTACTAATAAATTAGATAAATCGTTATCACTGATTAATGAGTAATGATCATACATTTTAAGAAGACATCGTGTTTGCTTATGTAATCTCCGTCATTCTAACGCGCATATATAATATACACGTTTTAGGTTCAAAAGAATCAGTTTAACTTTTTTAATTCAATACTTAAAATTTTAAAATTCTCTCAATTCAAAGCTTTTAAATTAAAATACAAAAAAAAGCGTACAAGAGACTCTGGAGAATATTTGTGCCTTCAAATTTAATAATAGGTTAAATCACTCTCATACTAAAAATAACTAAGTAGAGTGGTTTCTATTGAATTAAACATTGTCCATGTTATGCGTTAGTAAGACTGAGAAAACATAAGTGCGCGAGTACAACGTCGTCTTAAATAGATAAATTAATGTATGTATTTGAATACGCAACATATTAAATCAAGATGATTATCCCACGTATCTGTAAATGGATAATCGTGGGTGAAATTGATAAAGTTGTTTTGATAGTACATCTTTTTAATCATTGTGTTAAAAAAAAATTATCATGCCATATCTTAAGTAGATATTTTGTTATTCAAATACTATGAAATTGTATTATGTCTATAATATGATCGCCTATAATAATTCAATTAGATATAAATGTATAGATATTTTAATTAAATTGTAATTAGGCATTTCCTGTTTTTTCATACATACAGGTTATAACTATGATTTATAGAAACACAAGAATACATGTTAATCCTATTAATTTTGTACAATAATATATTGTAATTCAGTGGGTGACCATTCGATTTTTTAACGCAAAAATATTGATATTAATATAGCTGTCAAATAAAAAATATATTGAATGCTAACAGGCATTTTTTTCAATATTATAAGTTAAAAATAATTCAAATCATCCAAAATCCTAACAATAGATTTTTTAAAGTTGGAAAATAGTTTATTTTAAAGTGTAATAATAGATACATATAACTTGAAAGAATAATAAATAGGTACTTATAACTTTCCGTAGCCCCGGTCGTATAAGTTTATTGTTAAATAAAAAATAAGTTCATCAACCATTTCCTGTTTATTGCAAAGTACTTATTACATCATAATACGAGTATATACAATAGCTTGAACAATTTGAAAAAAAAAATGAATATTATTATTTGACACGTAAATAAACTTAAATTAATAATGGTATTGCATTGTATTGAAATAAAAATTAATAGTAACAATACAACAAAACATAACTTTCTTTTAACATTGACAAATATTAATAGCAATAGTGTATTTAATACCTACGCATGAACTGTTGATAGAAAATAATCTAATTGTAGTTCATCAATTAAAAATGTAATTTTAAAGAAAAAATATTCAAAAAAAATATTTTTTTCGTTTTAAAGTACGTAGGTTGAAGATTCGTAAACATTTTATTCTGATACATACGTGTAGTAGGTAGGTATTAATTGTTCATTATACTAAGACATTTAGTGGTAGCATTATTACTTCTCTTTAATAAATATTTCATAGTTTCGTTTTTGAATAAAAGTTGTCAATTATTTTTAAATACAAATGTACCTTTTATAAAACTTACCTACCTATAATGGATGTTTAAAATCGTGTCTTTTTTTAACCATAAGAAAAGTATAGCCATACTAAAAAGTTTAACTATTTTTGAACTAGAAAATAACTAAAAATAATATTAGGATTTTTTCGAGATAATTCTGTTTAACTTTGTTTCATTCACAAAAACTGAGCGTTAATAAAGTAATTTATTCACGCCCATTTAATAAAGCTAATCCAATCACAGTCGTCTTTCATTATTATATTACGTTTGTTTATTTAACGAGGTAAAAGATGCATTTCAGTTATTTAGATGTTTATATTAAGTTATATTACATATTTAATACTTATGAGTTATGATAAATTCTTTTTCAAATATAGACAGGTGTAAACTGCGTAGTTTGAAAATGTAGTTATATAGTTGAACAGCTTATGATATGATTAATGAGATCGAAATTCGAAATATAAAGAAATGATTGACATGAGTAAGAATATTTAAAAAATTACGAACGGGATAAATGTAAAAGCTAAATTTGAATATAAATTGATTGTAATAGGTATAATGACTATAATGTATATAATACTATATTGTAGAATACATTATGTATACACAAGTATATACTAACATAATATGATAAATACAATACCCCGAACATATTCATGCAAAATCATGATTTTTTTATGCTTTATTTTATGTATAATTAAAAAATTTAATATATTTTATACATGTATAAAATATACGATTTTATTAAAACTATATAGGTTTCTGAATTGAAAACTTAATTTTTCTGGGACACTAGTTTTTTTTTTTAAGATTTAGTATAATCAAGCTTTTTAAAAATTCAAAATGTGTATTGTGTAAAATTATTTTAAATTAAATTAATTTTTCAAATTGACTAATGTAGTCTACTGACTAGTAACTACTTATTAATTAAAATAAGTGTATATATAATTAACAATTTATAAAAATATTTCATATAAATTTCCGCTGTTACTTTAATAAGTATACCCCAGAAGAGTGGTTTTATAAAAATGAATATAATTTTAAGATTCTAAGTTCTTAATACAGAAATTAGATTTATAATTATATTCAAATTTATATAATTTACATATAATGCATAACTTATAGACCTAATAATATAATTTATTAGTAAGATAAATTATTTATAAATTAATAAAATATAAATAAAAAGACAATAAAGTTGTTAAAAATTTTAAAAATAAAATTAATAATTAATACTTACAGCCATTGAATACTGTTCATCTGTATGATTAACATTGGCAATACAATAAATATGGATATCCGTTTCCACATTACGAGTTCAGTTTTTTTCAAGCACAGTCTTTTTAAGAACGATATAATTTTTTGAGGTCATAAACTAGAATTCTGAAAATCATATCTCTTCAAACACCTAGGAACTTAATAATTTTATCTGTTAAAAATAATTTAACTGATTCTTTGTCATAAAGTACATAGTTTTCATATTTAGTCACAAACGTTCAGAATAAATGTAATAAGAGTAATGTTAAAAATACAACAATAACGAACATATTGAAAACCATTTATTTATTTAAATTAAAAATAATTTATTGAAAAAAAAACAATTTAACACTTATGATTAATTAAAATTGCATTCCATAATTATATCAAATATATTATATAAATACTTAATAATTTGTGGACGTAAAACATAATTTCTTAAATTTTAATCTATGTATATATTGAAATAAGTATTCTTTTACAAAATAAAGAATGCACGATACTCGGAAGACCTTCTACAAGGATACGGACTAACAGGTATCTTGTTACACGCACAACTAACTTGACACTAGGTGGTAAATTGCTCTCTTATAGACTAGTTTTTCTTACTTTTGTTTAACGGCCCAAATTATTTCATTTGGGGGAAATGTGTATTTTGTGTGTGTATGTATGCATGTGCGTGTGCGTATTGTGTGTGCGTCCTTACGTGTAGAGTGTAAGAGTAAATTTAATAAAGATTTATGCAAAATTAAATTAAATCACAGGTAACGATAAAGAAAAAAAACCATGGCTCATTAAGTATAAATAATAACATCCCAACACCAGAAATTAGAAAACGCGTAATTATTAGTGATGTGGGCTCAAAAGTACAATTTAAAAACAACGATAAATCAAGGAACTTTTAAAATGTTAGTAATCAACATTAATAATACTAAACTACACAAAACAAAAATAAAAATACAATAATACAACTTACTAGGTACATTTATGCTGTGGAAATAACTTAACAGTTACGTTATAAGATATTGTATATAATATTATTAAAAAAAAATTTAATTTATTTTTTTAATATATACATTATGTATACATTGTTTAGCAATACTAACTATAACTTTTATAATTTCTACATTGTCGAGGTATACATTTATTTAATTATTTTTTGAAATTAAATTAATACAACGTAAAATCGTTTATTTATTCTTGAATTTAAAACAAATTAACTTAACATTAACGGCTACGCTAATCTTATTTTGGGATATAAATTACTGAATAGGTTAGTATAAGTACAGTAATCAATATTTAATTTATACATTATACAAAGTGCAGATTATTTTTAAACGAAACTTTAATATTATATATTAATTATTAATAAATATATTACATAAATTCGGTTTACCTATTTATTATTGTGCCATTTATTTCAAGGAAGAATTTAAATTATGCAGTACAACACAAATAAAATACTAAATATTGGATGTGTAATGACATGCCGACTATAATAAAAAATATGTATTCATAATTTTTTTATTTGATATTTTTAATTCATACATTTTGATCTAATTATAAAAATAATTTTGAATGGATAGTGAGTTCCATCATGTAGAAAAAATTTAATGCATACAACTACTTTTTTATATTTATGGAAATGATTTTTGGTACTTTAATTTTAATGAAAATAAAATGTTCAGTTAATTTATAAAATACTCAATATTTATTTCATTTCATTTAAAATAAAGAGGAATAGAGTGATTAAGTATGTTAAGTGGGTGAAGTTAAAGCCTATATACGAGGAAGGGAGACATTTATGTTCTTTCGTGAGAGTTCTGTGAATTTTTATTTTGTACAGGATTTACCTATAGTAAAAACAAAAAACTTAACTTACCGATCACAGACAAAACCATCTAAATCAGGGGTCGTCGATCCACGGTCCACCTTGTCATTATTTGCGGCTCGCGAACATATTTGATAAAATTAGAACGGCTATAAGCCATCATTTAACCTTTAAGTTATCGCTATCGAAAAATTGGAAAATATGCGATATGGTAAACTGAATAAATGTTGGCTATTGCCTTTAAGTTTTTTTTATAAAAGTACAATATTAAAAAAAATTAAAATAACAATGAACTTTCAATTTTTTATTAAGAATATATTGACACGGAGATATATCCTAATCTTCGAAATAATACATTAAAAATGATATCTCTTTTTGGTAGTATTAACATTTATAAGCATATTTTATCACGAATGAAAAATGTCAAATCGAAAACTAGAGCTTGATTAACTGACTTTCATCAAGAAAACTCGCTGAGGATTGTGTCGTCTCAGATACAACCAAATACAGAAAAATTAGTTAGTGAAAAACAATGTCAGTTATTACACTAAAAATAAAACAAATAATTTGTAATTCAAAATTGAAATATGTTCTATGTACGTTTGCCCGCTGCCTCAAAATATTTAAGACCTCTGATCTAGATTGTTTTTGAAAACACAAATACTGTTATGTTTTAAATAGTTATCTTTGCGTGGATTTGGTTAAAAATGATTTTACTTATAGTAAACTAGAATTCTCAATGGTAGAAACCTCCTAAGATAAATAAATTATAAAGTTTGACGCGATTCGTTTTTAAATTGCATTATTTTACAAACCGTTTCGACGCTTATAAATAAAATCAGTCTATATTTCTATATTTCTCGTAATAATCGTAATTTTTTTAAACATTTAACTACTTGTTTATGCTGTTTTTTTGAATTAATATATTTATACCCCAATCCCTAAATTAATTAAATGCTATCGAGTTATATAATTTTAAAATAAGAAAATTATTTTAGTTTTTAAAAATGTAATTTTCATGTTTCTGGAAATGTGTTTATTATTACTTAAACCAAACAATGTTTAGATTTATGGATATTAACAATAATAGTCATCAGTGATTTTTTTCTAATACACATTCACCCACCAACTAAAAAAAATATTGCTGGAACAAACACGATGTTTATCTGTACAAGTATATCATCAAAATATATGAAAATAGCAAACCAAAAATTACAAATATATTTACGAAGACATTATTTATTCACATTAAAAATATGCTCCTAATTATGTGCCTCAGTCACTAATGTGTTCCGATATCAAGCATCGGCTGACGTCGTTAGTTTTCGGATGGGTAACCATGGCGCACACACATACACACACATGTTTCAACCCTACTAAACAAACCCTATACAAAAAAAAACTTACTGTTCCTATCCACAACTAATGGCCTTAGTTTCCAAGATTAAATAAGATCAATAAAAAAAAAAATTCAATAGGTTCATCTAATATTCTTCTTTCTCTTCAACCTAACTCCCAACTATATGAAATTCGCTTCCTTGTTCCAGATCATCGTAAGGCTTTGTTCCTCATTTCTTTTTTTGTCAAACTATAGTTATTTTCATGTTATTTATTATTGGGTGCATACTGTATACAAATTACTGCCCATCAGCCTCAAATTGCCTCCCCTGATTTTTTTTAAAAACGTTACTCTAAAACTCGAATTACTTTCCGGTTTCAGAAATATTGTTTATCTGAATTTTCTCCTATTTTAGATAGCAATTTTAATGTACTGGAATCGTCTCAGTATATTTAATTTATCAGTTTCTAGCTTAAATTATGAGCGTATATACGAAAAAAATAACAAATAGGTTATAAAATGCATAAAATGCATCTTATAAAATAAAAAAATTATCAATCTATTTTAAAATTAAATATTAAAATTATTTAGTTAATAATTTAAGCAGCCTATAATTTATTAATGATTATAGATACACCTTTTAATAAAATATTTGAACTTAAAATGCACATAGAAATAAATAACAATAAAAAAAATTAAGTAAAATATCATATTGTTAATTATTGCTATATAGTTAAAAATTTAAGTTAACAAATACTAATTATAAACCTATTAATAAAATGTTTTATCTAAATGTTTTTTAGATTTAAATTTATTTGTTAATACTTTTAAATATTGAAATTTTGCTTTAATTTTTTTAATCTTTCAGATGTTCAAAAGCTTTTCGTTCAAGATAATTACAGAATAGGTACTATCTGTCTATTAATCTTTTGCTCTGAGTCTTTCATACAAAAGTGAATAACCTTAAAATTTTCGAACTGAATTACAATAAGTTGATTGATTTTTAAATAAACTGAATACATTTTTGTGCATATGCCACCACCGATTTTTCTGAAATCCAAACTTAAATCCATTCTAATTAAAATTGCTTAGCTATTTTCACTAATAACGTTAATTTTGAATGTAATGTAATATGTACGTACCTATAAACGTGTTATTTAAGGTAAAGATCGCACATAAGAAATTATGTTGAGCTGTAGGTGGTATTGAATAAGATAGTTAACAAATCATTAGCTGATAAACAGTAACAAGATTATTGAATTCGTCAAATTAATCTGTCTAGAAAATATTGTCTTAAAAATAATATTTTTTAACATTACAGAAATTTATGCAATAATCAATAGCAGACCGTACTATCGATATATTAATTAATATAGGTATGCTATGGGAAGCAATTCGAGTAAACCGTTTAGGTACCATATCAGAATTGCATCTGGTTATTTTTGCAGGCAATTTGAGTAAAAAAAGGTTACCTACTTATTTTTGGGAGATAATAATTTAAATCACTCTATTATTCTATACTATAAATTATTTCCAATGCTTAAAAAAAATTATAAATATTGAAAATTTGGAATTTAGTACATATTTTCATTCAGACATCATTTGTTATCTGTAATAATGATTAAAATATTAGCTAAGATTTTAGTTCTGTTTAGTTTTTATGTATAATTTTACCAAAATATTAAAAAATATGAAAATACCTACCTAGTTAAGTATAAAAAAGTTATCAAAAAGAGAATACTTATATTTTTATAAATATATATTATATATTATATAGGTTATCTATTTAATTCTCCAGCTAAGGACATGCCACTAACAATCATCCATCTTTACATAAAAAAATATAAGAAAATTGGTATAATTTATTTGATTAGGTTTGTTTATATTTTAAGCTTTAGTTAGGTTAAAATGCTAAATAAAATACTATTAAATTAAAATAATAAAGCTCTACAATTTATATATGGTCAAATATTATAAATTTTGTTAATTTAAAGCATAACGCAAATAATTTAGACAATTAATATTAGCTTAATAAAAATATTTTACACTATAATTTTCTGCTTTTTATTTTATTTCATTTATTGTTAAACAGTTTAAAA